TTACTTCTTTCATTATATTTTGTATACTTTTTCAGCAATCTTGTATTAAGAGTATCGTCCCCATGAAGGGACCAATATCGGGCAAAACTTTGCTAACTATCACGGGTGATAAGTTTGAAATCGGATCTAACCTTTCTGTGAAGATTGGTAAGAAGCAGTGTGATATTCAAACGTAAGTATATTTTTCTTTTTCTGAATAATGAATGAATATTGTCAGGCAAAATGCGACGGTTTAATTTGTTCCATGCATCTATCAACTCCCACCGGAAAAAATTACCTTTGATGATTCTGACTATTTTTTAACATGTTTAAGAGTTTAGGTACCCATAAGTCATATTACTCCTAACGTAGCTACGCAATTATACATCCTTGGCTTTCAAATATTTGGATTTGAGCTTCATGCTGAAGGTTTTGCCAGATAAGCGCCTAGAACGCACGAAACTTAAAACTTGTTATTTTCATTTTACACTTTTCAGATATTTAAAAGTCATTAGTTAAATCTCATCATTTATAGTATTGTGTCTCATCTAATTTTCTTTGAGGCTTCAAACTTGTTGCATTTGATGTTTAATCGTAAAAAAATGTATGCCAACATACATCGGTTTTGAGATCTTGTCATTAAGAATGATATGAGAGCCAATAAAAAAACTGTCCAAAAATATTTTGCTACTGTAGGTCCTAAGCAAGCAATATTTTAATGTTTTATCAATAACACGTACCAACTGTCCAAGCTTTACAACCTATCGCGTCACAAAACAGAGGGTTTTGTATGACATTTATAAAGGCATCTCTATAAAACATCATGTATTTGTTATCTGCAAATCAAAAGATGAAAATCTAGCATTAAAAGTAATCATTACAGGCATTCTATATTTTAGGGAAAATGACACAGAAATTTTGTGCCTGACACAATCTTGTGGAACATGTGTACAAACGTTTGAAGGAGAAAATCTTGAAATGTCTCAGTGTACGTACAGCGGAGATATTGTAGTAGCGATCGATGGAGCATCATATCAGCCGTTAGAAAACAAGACATTTTGTTACATGCCGAACCCGGAGATTATTCACCAACCATCACGAAATAGTTCTATGATAAGGTATATTTTAAAACAGATAGTATTCGAAATGTTTAACTGACGAGAGAGCTAAAAGGAACCTTTTTGGTCGTCAGAACCTGAAATGAAAGTAGTATCACAGAAAACTTTAAAACAATTAGGGATTGGATGGTACAATCCTACTCTTTTGAACAAAACACTGCAAACAATAGGTAAAAAGCATTTAGTGGAAGAGACAACACGAAAACACCTTTATCGAAATGAATTGAGGTTTGGGCGTTAATAGTCATGTGTCGGAAAAATTTAGGTTATACGATTGTAGACTCAAAGATAAAGATGGAAACAATGCAAAATTACACTGAAAAATTCTTAAGTGTCAAAAATTCATTTGTTTGATACAGATATAAAAAGAAATCAAGTGAAAGCGGTACATGCAACATGTGAAGATACCATTCTATTGATATTTATTTTTTTTAATTTCCCACTGATGTTATATTAAAAACAAATTGTTACCGTTCTTAAAATGTACCTTAAGTTGTCTAACAATATTTTTTCAGCGGAGGTTTAAACATTGACATTTTTGGGAACTGGTTTAATTCTGTTACCAATCACAGTATACTGATAAGTGTAGGTGACGCTAATATAAGTTCGGTAAGTTTAAACATTAATAAATTCATATTCCCTCTATACAAAAAAAAATATAGCGTTCATGGAAAGCTGGGTATTCAGCATGTTTAGTTATGATTTTGTTTTTCCACAAATTTCTTGGTTGCGGAAAATATCTTTGGATTGGATTCATATATTCATTTCCAAAGTTTAATAATATTTTCTATTAATTTTCTTAAATGTTTGGGACAGAAAATAATTTTGACTGGTTTATTCCATTGGGTCTTCATATTATAGTCTTGGAACAAATCATATCAACTGAAAAAGGCTTAAAACTAGCCATCTTTGACTACAAGTACTCTTAGATCGGAATCATGATTTTTGTCTTTTTGAAAATTATTTTTGTATGATTCATGCCGATCTAATGAGTCAAGTCATGTAAGTATTTTACCTCGCCATCTTATCTAGTCTTTTGAATCAAGAGTCTTTAAGGCAGTGGTTAGCATGGAATGTTGTCTGTCATAGTGTCTTCGCTGTGATCGCCATGCTGCAAAGGGGAATAACTATATTTGAGAATTTGTTTGTTACAGTTGACGGTCAAATTTCGGATTTTGTGTTTTTAGATTCTAGTTGCTTAATCAGTATTTATTACTACAGACAATAGAATTTTGACTAAATACTTATGAAAATAAAAAGAGTAGTAATGTATATTGACAATATTAAACAATGTATCATTGAATTGGGTTTTTTTTGCTGATACAAATCCTCTTTCATATTAGCCTGCATTTAAATGACACATTACAAACAAATCTCCAATTTCGTACATAAATGGTAATTTGCTTAATCATTGCTTGCACGGCCAGGGCATATATTGTAAACAAAATGGATTTTTTTAAATTTCTTTTCCATGCATTCCAATGCGACAGTTTTTTATACTATAAATCCTATGAAATTGATATTAGGAGTTACCTCTCTTACACCAATGGACACTATATCTTAGACGGTTCACACTCATGTTTACAATTAAACAAATGTAAACCAAGTAAATTCCATCCATATTACGGACAATATATATGTGCCTGATGTCTTTTATTTATTCATTTTGCATACAACATACTGTTTGTTTTTTCTTTTGTTCTTTTCATATTTTGTTATGGCGTGTTTTTATCCTTACTGCTTGTATACGGTATAGATTGTGTTAATTGATGAAGGCTGTAGGTTGACTTATATATGTTTACATCGTCGTCCGGGTGTATTTTTGTCACACACAAAATATCCTTTTTATTTAAAAGAAATCATCTGGTTAAAGAAATTTTTTTCACCTTAGACTATATTGCATTTAAAATGTAACTAATATGACATCGTTCAATCATCTTCAGGGATTGTAACTGAACATTAACTTTTTTTATTCTTTAAATATTGATTCCAGTCTTGTAGAATGAAGAATTCCGGATCACTTTTGGTGTGTTCTACTCCTGATTTGACATCCGAATTGAACAAATCTGTAGAAGTTATCGAGGGCCGAATGACTGTAATATTAGACAACCATCCAGTCAACTCATTCACACTCATGATTTATCCTGACCCAGAATTAGACTACCTAGATATAGACACTCAACTGAAAGATATTGAAATGAATGACAAACTTTTAGAACTAAAGGTAAATGAAAACTAGTCAAATATATCTGGCTGATAAGTTGTTACGCAAAAGAAACGTGTTTCGTCTATATGAAGAAATCATTAGTGGCGCTTAAATCCAAACAGTTGGAAGGCCAAATCAAGTACAGAAAAAATAACAGCAAAAATTCGAGAATAAAATTGCAAAATATGACAAATATGGCAAAAGTGATTATGCCTAAAATATAGAAATGCCTAACTATTGCAAATTATTCAAGGTTTTGTGAATAGTAAATCTGTAAAAGGTGTTAAAATGACTGTCGCAAGATAGTTCATGTCAATACAGACGTGCTGACTACTGGGCTCGTGATAACCTCGGGGACGTCCACCAGCTGTGTCATCGACCCAGTGGTTTCACAAAGTTACCATTGATACCAGGCTATTTATTTTGGTCCAATAACGTATACAAGTATTTAATTCAAGAATGACTTTTATATTGGCAACATTACGGAGAGTAATATAAAGTAAGTGTTATTTCATAGGTTTTTTGGTTTCAGCCCGCCTGGTTTGCATAAAGCGACAAATGAAAGTATTGCCGATAATTGTCAATTGTCTTTAAGTTTCTATGAAACATTCTCTCTGATACCATTATGTTGATTAAAAAAGCAATTACTGCAATCATCAACTACATAGTGTCGTGTTCCACCTATATCCAATAAAGCAATCGTCCTATTAGTTTGGTTACTATTTACTTGAAATAAGAAAACAAAAACTTTGCATTTACTATCTTTACCCTGTCCATTCAAAATACTGTGTTAAGTTTCCATTTTGACTTTAAAACGAAGGTTATACTTCGGTTTATGTTAAGGTTGTAATCTAATATAATGTTCCGTAATATGTTATGTTAATACTATTATTTGATACTGACAGCCAACTTTATATTAAATTTTAAGTGTGACTCAAGGATATAACTTATGACAAGCTACAAAACAATACAGAAAAGAACTTCGGACGCTTAACATTTATAAATAAATTCATCATAGATACTAGGATTAAAATTTTGTGCACCAGACTCCTGACATCGACCTTATGGTTGTTAATAAACTCATTATAAATTTTAAAAAGTGTTATACATTATAAGAAACACATTGGAAATAATTGGAAACGCTTTGATGTGCAATCCTAGGAAATATATCAATTTATGTGTGCATTTTGTTTCGCCTAATGTACACTTTGTTGCAGTCGGATTAGAGGAATTCTATATATTTAATATCACGCATGTTGTCTGTTCTGTTTGCTATAGTATAAAAAAGGCGAACTATACCAAAGGGACATTCAAAGTCATAAGTCGAAAATAAACTGATGACGCCATGGCAAAAAAAGAAAAAGGCCAACAGATAAACAACACTATTTTAAACACAACATAGAAAACTAACGACTGAGCAAAATGAGCCCCACCGAAAACTGGGGATGGTCTCAGTGCTCCGGAGGGGTAAGCAGATCCTGCTCCACATTTGGTACCCGTCTTGTTGCTCATGTTAATTAGTATAAATACCACATATTCCTTCTTTACTAGAAAATTTCGTTTTTGAAAGTCACTAAAACACATACAAAATAAAAGTAGCATATCATGTTGATACTTAGTCAGATATATAATAACAGTAATTCTAGAATAAGGTCCTTAAGGTTGGGCATATTATAGCATTACATATTTTTTTGCAGGGGCGATATCTGAATTCTGCAGCAAGAAAGGGAGATTATATAATAAAAATAAATGAATCTCGTTGTCCTGTTATGGATCTCCATCAAACTTATCTGATATGTAACCTTTCTAACACAGTTCATATTAAAGATGTGCCACTACTTGTTGAGGTAAATATTTTATCAAACATAATTACAAGAACTCTGCCTGTGATTATAATACAAGTAGCATGTCCTCATATACAAAGGTTCACGAATTTGCGATAGAAAAGTACTTAATTTAGTTTTTTCCTGATATATTGATAAGGAACAATACCAGGGTTACTTAATTGTAAAAAAGACAAGTCTTAAGTTGCAAAGACATCACATGTACTTCTTAAAGTTTATACAACAAAAATGATTTTCAGGGAAATATTTTCATTTTGTTTTATGAATTTGTTTTCCAGAGGACAGATACTCGGATAAATTCGAACAAAATATATAAAATGTAAAACAAATAAAAAACAAACAAAAGGCCATATTCATGAATTACAGACACACATATATATATGAGACAGAAGTTATCATATTCTAGAGCGTCCAACCTTCCTTATAATTAAAAAGGGTTCAAAATTGTGGGTTTCATAAAAACTAAACAGATTTGACGTCCTTAGTAAAACATCTATCTTGGAAGATTTTCTGTTTTGCTTCTTTATATATATTTAACAAAAGCATCAGAAAATTTGCAAATGTTTTGATCACACGACAGGCAACTATTATGCTATTCGACGAACCAAAAAAGTATGTGTTGTACAAGAAGTATACTGTTCATCGAGCGCATCATCATTATTACAGATTGCATTTCTGTGAACAAGACAATGCAATTTCCCATAGGAACTCCCTTTACGGCTAAAACTGTGCCACTTTTACTATGAAGTTTCGTAAAAAATTATATCTTAGAATGGAAAGTTGATATGCACTATTATTTTATTCAAAGGTCAAAACATAGGCTGTGAGGCATATTTTCAACATTTATATGCCCCGTGTTTAAACTTATACTTAAATTCTGTACTACCCCTTCCTTCACTTTGGGTGACCCTCAGAATTCAAAATTCCCCGCAACCATGTGTATATAGGTGTAATACCACCATTGAGTTTCCCCTATTAGTCTTTGTTAAATTTGCACTTTTCAAAAAATTGTGCAGAATTTATCTTTGTTTCAAATAAAGAAATACTTGGCATGAGTAAAGTTTTATCCTGTCCAGTACTATAGAAAAAATTTCACATAACATTTCATTGCATATAAGAAAATAACCATCACTGGAAGTTAACCAATCAAATTTTCCCCCTTTTTTAACCTGTGTACAAGCTTAAGTAACCATGTAACCTCAAGTTTCCAAAATATTCCATAAAAACCCCAAATAAAGAAATAATGGTGCTTTGAAATACCCAAGATATATGTTTATGACTCAGAAATGTTTTACTGCAATGAAATGTAGGATCAATTACCTACAACTGTCAAATTCAAGGGAATATTTTTTTTCGACCTATTTTCGTATGCAACCGGATGTGACGTACTATGATTTGGTGGTATTACACCTAAAGAAGACTTTTTTGTTGAATAAACTGAATGTGACTTTTTTCCTTTGTAATACTGGTTATTTCAAGCATTCCTGTCAAGTTTTGTCATAATCAGTTCAATAGTTTGAGAAAAATCTAGTATAATGTAAGACGACATCTACAGCGATTCGAGCAAAATTTCTTCGAAAAATTAAAACCAAGCCGCATCATGATAGAATATAGTGTGGACCAATAAATGATCAAATATTTATCTCATCTGCCTACAAACAGTTTAATATGATACAAAAGATGACTTTAGGATGATAAATACTACTAATGGACGTCTTATTCTTCCTTATAAAGTCTCTTTTGGTCCATTTATACCTCTCATTTCCTCAAAATTTCTACTTTTTAGGCCAATAAATAAAAATTTTGGGGTAACTTTCACTCATTTATGATAGAAATGTTATTATAAATGATTAATTGAAGTATTCAAGCTGCTTGAACTATCCGTATAAAAGTTTACTGTCTCCAAGGAGGTTTCAATAAGTCCTTGCGTAAAACTTAAATTTACGCTGCGTTCCAGAGAGGGACATAAAAAACTTCTCTTTTGGTGAATAATTTGTTGTTACTGCTTTAAAAATAATTTCATTTACTTAAAACTATATATTTATTAAAGTATTTCTTAGGAAAAATTTTCTAGTATAGCAGAATATAAGAAATAAGGAGAAAAAGCTCCCCAAGACTCTAAGTATGGCTTGTTCTGTCAACTAATATTCATGGTAAAGTCCTATTTCAAGGAAATTTTCTCATAAAATGTATTTTGGAGACTCAATCCACTCAGAATATTTCATTATTTGTAATATTTCATTTAAATAGCAAGAAATTTTAACACATGAGAGTACTCACAAGGTCAAAGGTGCATGTACAGCTTCCCATATTAGGTGTAATACCACCATTGAGTTTCCCCACTTAGTCTTTGTTAAATTTGCACTTTTCAAAAAATTGTGCAGAATTTATCTTTGTTTCAAATAAAGAAATACTTGGCATGAGTAAAGTTTTATCCTGTCCAGTACTATAGAAAAAATTTCACATAACATTTCATTGCATATAAGAAAATAACCATCACTGGAAGTTAACCAATCAAATTTTCCCCCTTTTTTAACCTGTGTACAAGCTTTAGTAACCATGTAACCTCAAGTTTCCAAAATATTCTATAGAAACCCCAAATAAAGAAATAATGGTGCTTTGAAATACCCAAGATATATGTTTATGACTCAGAAATGTTTTACTGCAATGAAATGTAGGATCAATTACCTACAACTGTCAAATTCAAGGGAATATTTTTTTTCGACCTATTTTCGTATGCAACCGGATGTGACGTACTATGATTTGGTGGTATTACACCTATATACTGGTAACATTCCCAAGTTACGTCTCTATGAGATAAAACATAGAGATCATATCAGGGAACCAGTACGTAAACAAAACAAAATATCTACTATGAATATTATATATCTCCCCAAAAGAGGCGTGGTTTGTGAAACAGATTAATTTTCAAAGTGCAACCTACAGACAATTAATACTTTTTTTGGAGAATTGAGAATGTTTCTTCTAATTGATAGAATAAACTAGATGTTTATGGTTAAAAATATGTAAATAGATTAGGTAAATCTAATCTTTCAGTAATCATTCAAAAGTTTCCTCCCCCGAAACTTTAAAAAAAAAAAAATAAGTTAAAGTACTTTTTACATTGCATTGTATTTGGAAAAAAATGATAGAACTTGAATGATTAAAATGCAAATGTAACCAAAGTTTTCTTCTTGAATAAATAAAAGATAATGTAGTGTTAATAAAATTTCTACATCAGCGTAATTTTAACTTAATATTTATCTTGTTAACCTTTCTTCATTATCGTTATATTTTGTAACGTAACGTTTATTTGTTTAACTGAAAAGGTATCTGTAGGTCTGAACTGGAAGACGGTTTTGGGGTACATGAAGTTTTTCCATAAAGAAATTCGTCAGGACCAAATACATGTCCAACTTGCTGCGATTTGTTTGGGAACGTTTGCTGTTTTGATTTTGTGTCTTATATATGTCATGCGCAAGAAACACTTAGGAGTGTTTCGTAAGAAAGCTACAGAAGAGTTTTCTGTTGAGTTTTTCAATAGCCCAGAAACAAGAGGCCTTATGGATCCGCCAAATGATACAGGTAATTGAAAATTCACAAAGTGATCTAAATATTGTTGTAATTCAAAACATATTAGTTACATTTTGTTTAATATACTGCAGCTGTGCTGTTTACGCAATCAAATTGCATTGACCGTATAATGATTTTGCATTTGTCACCTACCGTATATCGCATTGTTTATGACATTGACCATGCCTTTCCGTGGAGTTTTATTTGTGACGTCATGAAAAGTACAGGTTCGCGGAATTTTTACGACGTTCGCTCCAATTAAAAAAAAAATATGGTTTATACCCAAAATATTTCATTTAGAACAGTTGTAGTAGTTGCAGTATATTAAGAATAATCATACATTGTCTCAAAATACAAATTTTGGTTGTACTCGGCTCAAAAAAGGATATAAATGCTCTGCATAGCCTCGTTTTCTACCTGTTTCAAAGCCTTGTAAAAATAAAAATTTATATTTCGAGACAATGTATGGTTATTCTATATATACAAACAACACATCGGTTTTATTATCTTGCTGGTACGTTGTATTCGATAAACTATTATATAACTAGGTTAATACACCCTGAATCTGAAGGTGCTATCACTTCAGTAGCCAAAACTTAGTATGCATATAATCGCTATTTAGTCCAGACCAGAAAAAAACAGTCGCTTAGACAACTTCTTGTTTTGGGTCAAGTGTCGCAATAATGAAGGTAATCGGTAATGAACTGAGGGAGGAAAAGTGAACATTTTGCAATTTTGATTGATTTTGACCCCATTTTTTTTTACACAAATTAGATTCATAGAAATGCTTTGTTTGAAATGTTTATAATTGTTTAAACCTGTATCTTTAAAAAGTTTTATGCACAATACATTGTTTAAACAGGGCCCCAGATAGTTTCATCTAGTTTGTGACGTCATGAAAAAGTAAGGTAATTTCAGAATTAACTGGATTGGAAATAATAGCGAGAAGGTGATTTTTGCCATTTGATAAAAGGCTTTCCGTTTTGATTTTCCTTGGAGCTCGGTGTTTTTGTTAGTTTACATTTTTTTACATTACAAATCCATTCCATTTTTTTATTACTCACACAGTTCATACACTCCTGTTTAGTTCTTTTGTGATATTTTCCTTCTTCGGGAAATTCCAACGGAGTAGGTATGGAAGAAATATATATACTCATATTCAAATTTAATATCATTATTTGTTTACAACATTTTCTGATAGCGAGGAATTAAATCGAACTATTTTATTCATTATTCTACAATAGTAATAATAAATGCAGGCATAATTTCTGGAATTTACGATATTTTCCAACAAGAACGAAACTGATAAGACAAATTCCGGAAATTCGTTTCGAACCCACTAGAATCAGTATTATAATTTATAATCAGATAAACAGGAAGATACACATAAAATAATACCTGATCTGAACTTTATTTGTTTACACATTTAAATCATTCCAATACTTATCAATGGAGGACATAACCATAATTCAATTTATATTTACTCGCAAAAGGCATTCAAAGAATACACATGCATTTATCAATTTATCTATTTTCGTGGAAGATGTAAGGTATAAAATGTCAAGCAGAATTCAACAAATATATAAATTAAAAATCAATGAAAGTGAAATTGAAATATCATCTATCAAAACAATAAAAACAGCAAATAAAAAAATTTAAAAAGCAAACTAAATTCACAGACTAAGTTGGATGCTACTAATTTGGGTTTTCAAATGCACATTCAACCATACTTTGAGACAGTTAACACTTGAATTGGTTTTATAACTATTGTGTATCTGCAACCAAATATCGGGGACAGAGAGAAGTTATGATGTTCGCCATGTTAAAATACAAGTTTTTCGGTTGTTTTCGCTGATATAGTAGTATTGTATAAATTGCTTACGGGCTAAGTGAGACATAGTATGGGTATAAAATTCAATCCTCTTTAAAGATAAGGAAGATTAGAATCTGCTTTATAATATGCAACTGCGCGTATTATTGTCGTAAAATCACATTTTTGTTAATTCATTCTGATTTTATGATTTATGCATAAGGTAATTCATCTGCTGAGCAAAGAACGCCTAGATATGTCAAACAGAAAGGACAGAGCGGTACAGTGCTAATTGTTGAAGGGGCTACAGGGAATCCTAAACCTGAATTTGACGCTATTGGAACTGTTGACATGCTGAAGGAGCAGAATATCTTTATTGAACGCGATTTGGTAAGACTTGGGAAAGATATTGGCCAAGGTGAGCATGTTATGTTATTTCAAAATATTTTGCTCTCCTAGAAAAATTTATATCTCTGCAAAAAACTTTGAACAAACAAAACCATTATTTACAGGGCGAGTGTAGAAAACTATATTGTACAAATACAACATTGCATACTGATTTGTTCTTATATTTTGAAATATGATGAAATGAATTTACAAAAAACAATAATCTCAAATATAAAAATAAATGTAAATCTTATACATTCACTACCAGATATATATATGGCGTTCTTATACTGAGTATTTCTTACTTTAGTGAGATGTGGATATATTATTTAGATAGAAGGCTTGGTTTGTATTTAGATATTTTCGATGAAAACCAGATACTACCATATCTCACAAACGCAGTTTACTCGTTGAATTCCTGATCTTTGAAATAGGCCATACATTTAAACATACTAAAGATCTAACGCATCGCAAGTTTATACGATATTGCATAGCGTTTTATTTAAATATAAATTGACATTCACAAGTTCGTCATGTAGTTTCATTAAAAAAAATATTTCAAGAAGGTTTTAAGAAAAATGAATGAAGTCGTTTCTTCACACGTTTTATGGTCGAAAGGGTCCATTAATACACTGCCTAAAAAAAATCATAATAGTGTTTTCTGTTAACGTTGAAAATTCCTTTTGACCACTCTCGTCCATCGCTGGTTATTACTGGTTTAATCATGTTCCAGATAATTCAGAAGTCAATCATGCATGTCCATATATAGTCGGCAATTTGTGCTTGCGCTGGTGATGCACCTTGTCCGATTCGGAGCTCCTTTTATTCCAAAATATGTCCTTGATCCTGATTGATGGTATTATGAATGGCATATCCAAATTTATAAAATAATTATATTTAATTTCTGTCTTATAAATTATGTGATAAAGGCACCTTTTTTCACAGGAAATTTTGGATGTGTATACCAGGGTTATCTCCGATTAATGGAAGAAAAGGATGAACAACTTGTTGCCGTCAAAACAATTCTTAGTAAGTAACAGACGTGAAAAGCTACATATAAAAAAGAAGATATGGTATGATTGCCAATGAGACAACATGTCCTCTTTTGTCTGCATTTTGTTGGAATAATTACTCTAAATATCAACACAACAATGTTAAATCTGCAAATTTGCGGAAGCAAATTTTTGTTCTTCCTTCGCCGGGATTCGAACTCATGCTATTGGGATATCGAGACAACACTGCCTGCACTGTGTCCAGCGCTCAGCATGAGTTCGAATTCCGGCGAGGGGAGAACAAAAATTTGCTTCCGCAATTTGCAGATTTAACATTGTTGTGCTGATATTTAGAGTAATTATATATATATATATATATATATATATATATATATATATATATATACATATATATATATTTGACTTAAAAAAAATTTAAAACAGGTAAAAGGTTCCAATTCTCACAGACACACTTGATCGTCTCAAGTATAAGTATTATAGCCTTTGTATTGCTTTTTTGTTATTTAATGTTATTCAGGGTTATATCTTGTCAATATACCAGCTTTGATAAGTGTTTGGTATTACTATACATTTTCACTTCGTACTATGAACATCAAAATTATTTATTTTGTAAAAATATTTCCTTTCTCTATTGGAACTGTGCACGTATACCTAACAACAAAATTATTTTCATTTACCTGTGTTTAAAGTTATTGCAAATGGCTGATATTTTTGTTCGAGCATATTGTTTTTCTTTAATTGTTTAACATTTCATAACGATATAACATGTTACTTTTATTATTCTTCCCTTAGTTTATTTATTTTGTATTTACATTGAATCATAGGTCAAATTTATTTGTTCAGTGTATGTTCAATGGTGTTAATATGTCCTTTGATCGAGTTAAGCTATTTCAGTTGATATTTTATAGTGTGTCTTTCTATGTTGTGATGTTACACTATTGTTTCAGAAAAAGGGTGAAGGTTTGGTACTATTAAAACGTTTAAACCCACTGCATTTGTTTGCACCTGTCCTAAGTCAGGAATCTGATGTTCAGTAGTTGTCGTTTGTTGATGTGGTTCATAAGTGTTTCTCGTTTCTCGTTTTTTATATAGATTAGACAGTTGGTTTTCCCGTTTGAATGGTTTTACACTAGTAATTTTTGGTGCCCTTTTTAGCTTACTGTTCGGTGTGAGCTAAGGCTCCGTGTTGAAGACCGTACTGTGATGGTTTACTTTTATAAATTTTTTGACTTGGATGGAGAGTTGTCTCATTGGCACTCATACCACATCTTCTTATATCTATTTGCTTTAAAATGTTTTGGTTTTGAGGGTTCCAGATGAAGGTTCAAGATGAGCGTTATGACCACGCAAAGATAATAAAATGTTGTAAATGTTAAAGTTGTTTTATGAAATCGTTCATTTCCACATGATATAGATTATAAGGTAGTATATATTAGTATAAGTTTTTGAATTTTGCATACATGTATTTAGTCTCTATCAACAGTAAAATTGAATCAACCACATTTGCTACGATGATCAATTCCTATTTACAAAACGTGATCGAAGACCTGACACCTATATATCTCGAACAAAAGAAATTATCTCCTTCCAAACAAATGTATTACTGTTAAACTTAAAATATCCTACATTTCTTTATTCTTGAATACCCGAGGGAAGACTTTTACTTAGTAATTTTTACAACTCAAAATCCACTTAACAATGTTAACAATCTGTTATTTTACACATGTGAATTGATACAGTATTCTGATTTTATATTGATTGATGATCGATTGATTGGTTGGTTTTTAACGCCACTTTCAACACTATTGAGCTATTTGTTGGCAGTCATTTTTTATTGGTGGAGGAAGCCGGAGTGCCCGGAGAGCTATCGACCTTCGGTATGAAAGGTGACAATGCTAGTCAATTAAGATTAGTGTTGAGTGCACCTACCCCGTGCGGGTTTCGAACTCACAACCTCAGTGTTTACTGGCTAGTGATACAGTAATTCGACTACTTAGACCACTCGGCCACCAAGGCCCCTCTAATTTTATATATATTCAGTCTAATTTTTTCTAATGCTATAAAAAAATTACAGAAACAGAAGTACAGGACATAAATGCAATCATTAATGAAGCTATGATTATGAAAGATTTCAATCATCCCAATGTGATGTCACTGATTGGTATTTCCATCGCTCCTGGTGAATTCCCGTTGGTTATTATTCCATTCATGTCAAATGGAGATCTACTGTCTTATATTCGTAGTGCTGACAATGTAAGTAATAATACATATGTTGTAATTATTTTTGTTATGTCTTTCCCCTTTTGTTAGTTTTAAGCTGCAAGAATCCAAGGAAATACATAAATACATGCGTTATGTTTGGTAGATCCAAATTCATTATAAAATTCGTGACGTATTACGAAAAACTATTTTATGTGAAACTTTACAAATAATGTTTCGTGCAGATCTGGAGAACCATTTCGAACTGATTTTTATAGTTAGCTCATGTGCTGTAATGTGACATCATTATTCCCGGTTAGGGGAGGGTTGGGCATATTTAACCCATCCACATTTTTATATGTCTATCTTAAGTCAGGAGCCTATAAATCAATGGTGTCATTGGTTGCAGTCTGTTCTATCTGTTTTTCATTTATTGATTTGTCATAAATCAGACCGTTGGGTTTTTTTTCGCTTGAATTGTTTTACATTTTGTCATGACGAACCCGTTTATAGCTGACTTATACGGTATTGGTTTTGTTCGTTGTTGAAGGTCATATGGTGACATTTTAATTCTTAAATCTGCGTTATTTGAACTTAGGTGGAAAATTATCTCATTAGCAATCATACTATATCTCCTTATCCTTTATCTTGTATAAAAAGTGCTAAAATACTAATACCCTGAGCGTTGTTCGGGATAGAAATAAGGTATTCTCTGGACTTTTCCGGTCAATAAATGAATATATTGCTTAAGTTGTGCCTCCGTGATGCTGTGCTAAATTTATAAATACGCAGACAAATCCAGACGAGTCGATGAATGTAGTCCAATGCCCGTACCGAGTGATTATTATGCTCTTTGATAATGTTTTATGCAAGCAACAGCAGCAATCAATCAATCATTACAAGTATTTAAACATCATATCATAAGACAGGTCCAGGAAAGAATGTACAGTTACTGAACACAATTCTCTGAATAAAGAAAAACATTGTGATATTGGTAACGAGGTTTCGACTATAAACAGACAAATGAAAATTTTGCGGTTAAAATTAGTTTTTTTTTATATTTCATGCAGTCCGTTTTTATTCTCAAACAGCTTAATCAACAAAACGTACACTATAAAGGCCAGTACAGGAAAAATACATTAAATAACGGTATACAAGATAACAAACCCAGAATAAGTAACAAACTACAACATAGGAAGAATATTAACAGATACTGAAATAAAAATCAAATTACCTTATCTGGTGATATTAAACCATACTGTCCTGCAATTAATAAAGGTATAAAATCATATCAGTTTTTAATTCTGGTGTTACAATTTTCATGTGTGTTTTATATACAGAAAAAAAATAATTTTACATTTTGAGTATATAAAATAAATCTTTCGAACATCTTTGTGTTTTAACACAACAACAAAATTAAATGCGTGCTAAACTGTGTCTATTTCTCTATATCCCTTGTATAACAAATACAAATATCTGTGCTTTGTTTGACAAAAACATCAAACCGATTTCGCGAAAAAGTCTTATCTCTACCATATAATAAATTGAACAGATTTCATTTGTGTGGTAAATTTGCCACCTGCGAATTATATATATGTAAATAATTCCAATATTAGAATGGAAACATGATTGCTATCTAATTTCTTTTTTTTAAATTATTATTTAGATTTATAAATCATTTTTCTTAAGTTCTTTTTATATTTCTAAATAAAGCTTTAACTTGATTTACATTCTTTACAGAAGCCAACTATTAAAGACTTGGTAAAATTTGGACTAGATGTTGCTAGGGGTATGGAATATCTTGGAAGCATCAAATATGTACATAGAGATTTAGCAGCCAGAAATTGCATGTAAGAAGTCTAAAAAACCTGAAATTTCACACCTCTTTAAGAACGCACTGACAAATTATTTTGACCCATATAATATGTATGTTTTCTGCAACAGTGAAATAGTCTAATGAATTACAAAACAAATATGTTAGTTTAATTGAGATTGGAAATACTTGAAACTATATATAAACTATACGCCTGTAGAGGACTGAACGAGTTGTGGTATACCGTCGTCTGTCCGTCCGTCAAAACTTTGTACGCTAACTAACCCCTTTTCCCTAACCAACTCCCATGAAATTCTAACTAAATGGATTTCACGGAAGAAGCTCTTTTCAATTTGTTTTTTTCATTTTGTTGTTCCAGAGATAAATTCCCTTAACCTTCAGATTGAATGAAGTTTTTTACATATTGCGCATATATGACTCCAGTATGCTTGAATAGATTCCTCAAAACTTAACACTATTGTTGGAATTTATAAAATTGAACTCCCTTTCCATATTTTAATTTGTCTGGTTTGTTATTCCAAAGTGATTGAACTAGAACTGTTAGGTGTAAGAAATTGTTCACATGTCGTACAATAACTTGAGTATGCTTGGAATGATTCACTGGAATCTTTACATATTTGTTTGGATAAGTGAAAGTCAGATTTTGTTCGAATCTGGTACTTTGACCGTTAGATTAATATAAAACAATGTTAACGTTTCCTGAACTAGCTTGAGTATACTTGAATCAATTAACTACAAAATTTACACTCTTGTTGGGAGAGGTGAATGTGCACTTTTGATTTTGAAAATGTTCTAGTTTATAATAGCCGTACCAAAGTTATTGTACTTAAATAGTCATATTTGATGCAACATCTATACGACTAAAGACATCCTCATACACGTTTTCTACAGACTTAATTTATAAGCTTTTCTTAAATATCTTCTTAATTTTTCATTTTATTTTCGCAACAATTGTAAAATGCACAATACGGGTGTAACATGTGCTCTTCGGGCAGCTGCTTATTTAAATTGTTATGTAAACAAAAATGCTAATACTCAAAATTATTCGATGCTGATCAAGTCAAAGTTATTGTTGGTGTTTATGCCACTTTCAGCACTCATGACGATGTCGTGTTGGACGGTTTTTTTCTGGTCGAGGAAGCTTGAATACTCGGAGAGAACCACCCACCTTCGTTATAAAAGCTGTCAATGCTAGTCAATTGAGATAGGAATCAAACAAACAACGCCGCAACCGGGGTTCGAACTATCAAAAAAGCCAATCCAAGTTTGAAATTTGGCACGGCATGCAATAAGGGTGAATGCAATTCTTTGTTTGGAGTTTTGTTTCGAAGTTTAATATGTAAGACATAATAAAAAAAATGTGTTAAAGTGATAATGAATAAAAGAGTACATGAATATATGAATACTGTAAACGAATAAATGTATGATTTGCAAATGGCTGATATTTTTGCTCGAGCATATTGTTTTTCTTAAATTGTTTAACATTTCATAGCGGTATAACATGTTACTTTTATTATTCTTCCCTTAGTTTATTTATTTTGTATTTACATTGTATCATAGGTCAAATTTATTTGTTCAGTGTATGTTCACTGGTGTTAATATGTCCTTTGATTGAGTTAAGCCATTTCAGTTGAAATTTTGTAGTGTGTCTTTCTATGTTGTGATGTTACACTATTGTTTCAGAAAAAGGGTGAAGGTTTGGTACCATTAAAACGTTTAAACCCACTGCAATTGTTTGTACCTGTCCTAAGTCAGGAATCTGATGTTCAGTAGTTGTCGTTTGTTGATGTGGTTCATAAGTGTTGCTCGTTTCTCGTTTTTTATATAGATTAGACCGTTGGTTTTCCCGTTTGAATGGTTTTACAATAGTAATTTTTGGGGCCCTTTATAGCTTGTTGTTCGGTGTGAGCCAAGGCTCCGTGTTGAATGATGCAGCTTGTAAAACAAGTGAGGGGGCAAGCAAACACAATTATACTTTAGACGATAACGGATAAGATTATACCGATGATAAGAATATCGTACAATTTGTATTTGGTATCCAAGAAAAACATTTTGCTCTTTCAACTTCTCATTGTGAGAATACTTTTTCATTCGGACATCTAGACTATTGATTTACTCTACAGGATGGATGAAAACCTCAAAGTAAAAGTAGCAGACTTTGGGTTGGCTAGAGATATTTATACCAAAAATTACTATAGCAGTGATAATAAGAAAATGTTACCAGTAAAATGGATGGCTCCTGAGAGTTTAGAAAATGGGACCTATAGTACAAAATCAGATGTCGTATGTACATTAATTGTTATATCCATTATATTCACATTTTTTTACACTGTAGTTAAAATGATTTTTTCATAGCTTGTATAAGGCACAAGTTGTTATAAATACTTAATTCAAACATTTGCATATTTTGGTCTGCATCATATTAACTTTTACACGGCATTAGCATGCTTTACTTTTTCCGAAGTTCTGACATTGCTCATAGTATTGTTTAATAACAAACAAAAATTGTTAATTCTTAGAATATTCTAAATTACTGTTTTAACTAACTTGTATATTGTAGTGGTCGTTCGGTGTAGTTATGTGGGAATTAATGACCAGAGGTTCTGCACCTTATTGCGATGTTAACAATTGGGATATGCATAAGTATTTGCACTCTGGCAGGCGCCTAAAAAGAACTGAATTCTGTCCAACTACATTGTAAGTTCATAGATACATTCATTACTAACGAATATGAATATATCAAACAAAAATACACAATGTATGCAAGCTTTGAAAACACACATTTTGCCAGTGATTTTATACGCACAATACGTCATGCTATAATAAAAGGACGAACAGTTGATATTCTTGGGTGTAGGGAGGAGGAATTTGAAAAGGAATAACTAGGTCGAGACTACATAAGCATGAGTAGCAACAGATGAAACTAAGTGATCAATAAGGAAAAATCCTCCCCTCTCCCCCGAATATCAAATGGTCGCCCCTAACCTTCAACAGATTCACTCGAGGCAGAATGTTTTTGAAAGCCAAATACTTAGAACGTTTAAAATAATCAGTTTTCTATAAAATATGCTATCAGTCATCTGTGTGAATTTAAGCCTTAAATTTGATATATAAATAAAAGTTATAAACTAAAGAATTAAAATCTAAATGAATAATTTGCCGTGCGCGAACCGTCTTCGTCATGTTTATTAGACATAAGATTCACAGTTGTATTAGACTTTACAGCAAACATAAAACAGCAGCGTCAATCTATAAGGCGGATAATACCCTTGACCAAGTGGTATTTTTCAACTTGTAGTAGAAGACATATGATACTTATTCGATAGCACTCGACACATTTTTCTATAATAGATTAAAATAGTGTTATCAAACAAAAATGTTCTTCGAAATACTCTTATGATTGAACAGTTTTGAGCAAAAGTTAACTTCAAGGACGGCAAACCAAACTGTTTTTTTTTATTGTCAACTACTAAGAATTCTTTATTGTTACTTTGAGTGTATTTGAAACGAATTAAATGAAATATGTTTATTTACATTAAATATTTAGTCATAAATAACATTTGTATACTTCAATGTTTTCTGAATGTTTGTTTTTATTTGATTAGATATGATATAATGATGGCATGCTGGAAATTTGACCCATACGACAGACCAACATTTCGGGAGGTGAATAAGAGGGTCACTGTATTAGTAGAACAGGAAAAATAGAAAAGAGATAGAGAACTTTGTTTCGAAATATGCTGACAATAACCTTCATTTTAATGATGATGAACCAGTGAAAACATTTTGTTAATTTTAAACTCCTTATATTTATGAGAATCAATAAGGTACTTTTTACCAAATGATATTTTTAAAAGACAACAATTACACTACACTCAAAGTCGACGAACAAAGTGTAGTAGTCAGCCGAGAACCAGCTTACCTTTTTCGTAGGCGGGACATACTAAAAATAGGGATGTCATCAGGGAGGCAATGTTTCGAAATGATTAATTAAATAAAATAAAGAACGGCATAATCGCCGAACGCAGAAATAAACTGCAATATGCATAACTGTACATATGTATACATATTTGTGGTCTCTGATTAGCATGTACCAATGGAAAATACTTTAAAAAAATGCCTCAATGATTTGACATTTCTAGTTTTATCCTGGTTTCGATTGCAGATTTATGTTTGTGATCTTTATCTTCACAAACCGAGATCCGTCAACTCAATGCCATGTTTTGAGAAAATGTCACTCCCTATGTCTCCCTCTTCATTATGAAAAATAAGTTCACCTCTTTTTACATGACTAGATTTTTGGTTAAAGGATAACATTTTATACCTATCCAGAGAGTTTATTTTCTAAAACCTATAAATGTATTATTTCTCCAAGCCATCTATCTTTAAAACTAGCCAAAATTGGTTACTTCTATGATCGTAAATTGTAAGAATTAGTATCCGCTGCACTTTGAACGTTCAGCACTTAAATACATTCACCTATTATTTTTTTTACATTGATTCCTGTATCTTGTTTTATTCTTTTATTCTCGTAATGTATTTCTTAAAATTAGTACATTGCAAATATGAATATAAATTGGTAAACAACTTGACAAAATACCCAAAAAGTAAAAATAAAAATAAAAACTGAATTAAGGTGGTATATAACACTACAGGGAGATAACTCTGTAAAAATCAGCTGAACGTTTTAAATACGTTCTATTGTTAAGGAAATATTAAGCTTCTCAATGATCAAAATTAGTGTTGGTCAAACTGCTATATATCCAATGAAATTTTTCCGGTAAAGTGTGTGGTTCAAATTTTTTGAAATTTTTATATTTTTGTTCTTTTGATCCGTCTTTGTATATTTTAAACCTTTACTATTTAGTCCACCTTTGGAATATACTTTTGGCGTGGCTATGTATTTATACATTCCGCCATTTTTTTATTGTGCTATGGTCATTTTTATATGCTTTGTCTTTCATTATTGCTTATATATTTTGTCTATATGCCATTTTATTTTTATTTTTTAAATAGTTATTTGTTTTTAGTGATTAAGATTATAACACAATGTTTACTGCTGTACCCCAATTTTTCACATGTTAACCTATTATGTCAGATGTGTTTGGTTTATTGAATTTGCCATGATAAGGGATTTTACGTTTTGAATTTTCCTTGTAGTTTGGTATTTTTGATATTTTACTTTTTGGTAAGGTAGTTAATTTTGCAGCAAAACTAAAGATCTTATACGTACAAATGCATGTTACTTTGAAATATTTACATAATGATGTTCGCTTCTCTGTTTTAAGATATCAAGCATTTAAAAAGACTATTATAAAATGATAGTATATTTTAAATAATCCTAGGATTTAAAAAAGCAGAAAAAATTAGGCGTTCGTGTGCTTGTTTTTCGAGATATAAAAGCCATTGAAAATTTGGCGGAAAATTATTCTCCCTAGATTTTTAACATTCAACATTGGCACCTATTTTTCTTTCAAAAACTATGAAAAAAAAGGATTTTGTAAGAATCAAATATGGATTTTCAAACTACATGTAATGAAAATATATATAAGGAAAAGTAGGGGTTAGCGGGAAAAATTTAAATGGCTCTACATAAATAAAACCAGAGGATTCCGAATGTCTGGCAAAAATTCAAAAAAATAGAAGAAGAAGCGAACATCCTTCTTCTTTTAGAAGAAAATAAAATAACAAAATTCGAAGTTCAAAGGTATGAGAATTTTCAGAAAAGGTATTACGAACACGGACCCGGACATAACCTAACTATGAAAAATTTGTAAGAAAAAAAAATGAAACTATACGTAATTATTTTCACAAATGAAAAGTTAACATGAAAAGAAGATTTAAAAGATTTTTTGAACGTTCAGAATGAAAAGAAAAATAAAATGTTTGTACACGTAAGGTGTATCTGAGCGAACTAGCATCAGGTACAGATACTCGATCAAATAGAAAAAAGAAGATGTGGTATGATTGCCAATGAGACAACTCTTCACAAGAACCAAATGACACAGAAATTAACAAACTATAGGTCACCGTACGGCCTTCAACAATGAGCAAAGCCCATATTGCATAGTTAGCCATAAAAGGCCCCCGAAATGACAAATGTAAAACAATTCAAACGAGAAAACTAATGGCCTAATTAATGTACAAAAGAATGAACGAAAAACAAATATGTAACACAGCAACAAACTACAACCACTGAATTACAGGCTCCTGACTTGGGACAGGCACATACATACAGAATGTGGCGGGGTTAAAAATGTTAGCGGGATCCAAACCCTCCCCTTAACCTGGGACAGTGGTGTAACAGTACAACATAAGAACGAACTATAAAAATCAGTTAAAAAAGGATTAACTAATCAGATGGATACAAATAGAAATACATCTAACAAACACACAGAGTTGACGTGGTTGAACAATAAGAATGTAAAACGTTAGAAAGATTTAAACCTGAAACATCCTTAACATACCAGCCATAAATATTTTAGTTGAAACCTAAGCTTAAATTCAACTTCATAATTTATGAACTCGAAATCTTTTTAAAAAAATGTGATATCTAAGTCATACCAGTAAAAAAGCACTAGCTGCTAATTATTACTAAAATGATTGAATAATTACTCTATGAGCATTTAACTTAAACTCTCTGTTTATTTGTTATATTTTTGAAGTCAGTTAGAAATAAACTGGCAAAGATTTATTTCTTGTTGACATATGATTGATGTTTTTGCCTTATTTGTAATAATTTATGCCTTTCGAATTCAAAGAGACCAAAAAAATATGCATTCTCCTTTGTTTTTTTTTGTTTTTTTTTGTGTTTCATCAATGTATGTCTATATCTATATTAATTTGTTAATGTCTATATTTCTTGTTTTATTGAATGCAATATTGGTGATAGACACGAGTTAAACAACTATCTGCCAAACATGCATGTCTGCTCTTTTACATTTAGTGGTTACTCTCAAGTTACCTTTACTTTTTTATGTGATTTTTTTTTTTAATTTAAATATCAATTAACTAACTTTTATAGTTTGATATTTTAGAGAATTTTCCATTCCTAATAAACCTTTTACCAGAGTATGCTCATATGTGTTAAACGCGTGATTTGCAAGTCTGTATATTTATTGTAAATAAATATGTATTTTTTTATTTGTTCATTTCTTTTAGTATGATACGTTTACTGTACATGACACGTGTTTCTTGAAATACCATTATCATGTAAGATTAACTTCAAACACTTTGGAAAACATGTAGACGAAGAGAAAAAGACAATTAATAGAGGAACATATACAACTGGTGTAGGTCCCTTTCAAATCAAAGGGGACACAATATTTGTTCGAATTACCACAGTTCTTGTATATCATAATGAAAAACAAGTTCCTTTTTTTAAATCTTATTTTACAAATAAAAGTAATTTGAAATCAGATCAAATATGTGGGATAAACGTCAATGAGACAGAAACTCAACGACACAAAATACGCATAGAGGTCGACATACAAAACAAAATGATTGCAGATATATAAAATTCTCTGTTAAATGATCTCACAACTTTTACACACCAGGATGGTTTACTACTTGAGATAATTGTTATTTTGTGCTCACACTTGTCTATTATTGAAAATAATATGATGAATCTAAAATGTGTTTGAAGGTTTTTTTGTCATTGGATTTTTCTGCAATTAATTTTTATCCGACATCTCATTTTTACGGAAGCGTATTTTTTTTTTAAATTGTCGACTTTAATCATGGAATTGTCTACTTTAAACTTGGAATTTCTAAATTTAATCTTGGAACTATCAATTTTAATCTTGGAAATATCAACATTAATCTTGGAATTATCAACTTTAATCTTGGAATTATCAACATTAATCTTGCAATTATCAACTTTAATCTTGGAATTTCCAATTTTAATCTTGGAATTATCTGGGACTTTTATACTAGTATAATATAATAGTCCCAGGAATTATCAAACATTAATTTTGAATTATGAACTTCAATCTTGGAATTATCAACATTAATCTTGGAATAATCAACTTTAATCTTGGAATTTCCAACTAAATCTTGGAATGTTCAACTTTAATCTGGGAATAATCAACATCAAACTTTGAAATTCCAACTTCAATCTTCCGACCCTCATTAGTCCGACACTGATTTTTCCGACTTTCATTAACCTAGTGAATCTCTGAAATGAGAACATCGTGACGTTTGGCTCACTGGACTCTCGCCTCTGCCAAACAGTGCACTTCATTGTGCTTTACTTTTCTTTTGTTGGTGATTGCTATTGTAAATATCGATGCACATCCGCCTATTCAGCAATATAACGTAATAAATACATGTACTGTACTGCATACACAATTACAAATGGATAAACGTCCCTGATTAATTCAAATACCACAATTGGCCATTAATATAAGATTTCCAATAACATATTTACATAAGATATGTAGAACATACCCCATATCAATATAAAATTATGAAACAACAATGCATATCAATATAGAATGTCATCAACAAATAAAAAAGTAGTGTCATATATATATAAAATCTCGCAAAATTATGACCAGTATTTTTGGCATATCCACGTATACCCATTACCAGGAAGTTACAGTCCTCGTGAATATTAGGCTACGTGAAGCTATACAAGACTTTAGATACATGCCTATTTTTCTTTTACATTTTATCCAAACATTTAGCCGCGAATTGTAAGTAGATTTAGTATTTATTGAGAAATACAATAAACTATGAGCTAGAAGTAAAATATCAGTCATTTCCAAGATTAAAGTTGATAATCCAAGATTAAAGTTGATAATTCCAAGATTTAAGTTGGAAATTCCAAGATTAAAGTTGATAATTCCATAATTAAAGTCGACAGTTTGAAAAAAAATAAAAAAAGGATGGCCCTAATACGCTTCCGTACATTTTACGAATGCCCTAATGAAATAAACTTAAACTCGAAATGACGATTATATGTGATAAAAAAATTGCATATGCAAACAAAAACCTAAAAGGTTTCCGAGTATGTATAGAGGTAAATGACATGTGAACAAATGTCACATTAACGTTTGAAAATATCAAACAAATGGTTTTTTATGTTGATCAGATAATGTATTGAATGTATTATTGAATCATATAAGAAAAGCTTTTATCTATGATTTAACATCATCAAAATTCTATTATGAGCTTATTGGTCACCCATGGGTCTTAAACACAGCGAGAAAATCCCAAATAATTACTTTAAATTGTATAAATGTTTTTTAGGCTAAAATATAATGTGTTGCGTTTCTATAAGCTCTACGTTTTTTCTTCAATACACATATATACATGTATCACGAAGAATGAGGGTTTTTTTCCGAGCACATTTATGTTCTGTACTGGTCATCGGATTTAAAAACCCTCTTGAACCCACATACTCTTTGAGGAGGAAGTCCTATGCTAACTCAACTGAATGACATCCCCATTTAAATTTTGTTGGTCAACACAACAGAGCCTTACTAAGCTTTCCAATAACTGTTGAAAGAAGACAGTATGTTTAAGCAGCCTCCAAAAAAGAACGACTTTAAGAAAAAAACATAATTACACTTACATTTAAAATTTAATATGAAAACTTAATTTGGATGTATTTAATATGCATTAAATCTACCTTTAAATTATTTGTTTGCGTTTTATGATTTCATGTTTTAATGTACCGCCAAAAGTGGAAGCTGTCATTTAGCCCTAAACGTCTACTCATATTTACCTGCAGCATTTTATATATTATATAATATTGAATATGATTTTGTTTTGGTTTTTAACGCCACTTTTACCAATATTTGCTATTTTGTGTCGGCCAGTTTTTATTGGTGGAGGAAACCAGAGTGTCCGAAGAGAACCACAAATGTCATCGCCGCCAGATTATTGGCAGACGGCGTCATTGGACAAATGTTTTAAAACTAGATACCCAAATGATGATTGTGTTGAATTTGGCCCAGTAGTGTCAGAGGAGTAGATTTTTGTAAAAGTTAACTGACGATGACGACGACGGACGGCATACGCCAATTCTTTTCAAGTTTGTCAATTGTAGTTCATATAACACTATTTAAACAAGGTAATTTAAAAAAAAAAAGGTCCATGTCACCAAGCCTTTTTTCAAGCTACAGATATTACCAAATTCTCTCATGTCATGAATATAGGAGAAACATTAAATAATGTGCACTAAAAGAAAACAAGAAATGGTAGATCTTTTCCAATCTCAACAACAGCGTAACGTTTTAGGTCAATCAAACAAAGCAAACCGAAGTCTTTAATCTGACGGTTAATGTTCCCAAACTCAAAAATGACGAATAGGTTTTGGTTTCAAATCGCAAGGGAGCTGACTTTCAACAACATTATACATGTCTAAAACGACCTTTGATCTGTTCAATCAGAAACACAGATGCCAAGAGATCATACAAGTTTGTGTTTGCTTATTGCTAATTTGCCCTTTTGTTTGATATACGGTGAAAAGGTAAATAAATTGACAAATCTATTTAATCAATAACCATTGTGTCTTAATGGCTTGGATTTTTGAAATTAAAATGTATGGTATGATAAGAGCCATTACTTGACCCTTGAGATTGCAAAAATAGCTTTTAAAATAGTTACAATACCATTTTATAGCACCTTACATTAAGGTTGAAACAAAACAAACACATGGTTTTTTGTGTTGTCCGAAAAAGACAAATACTGAAATGTCTATAGAGTTAAAGGCTTAATGGTATTATATTTGAATTGGGGGATTTAATAACGGATTTATCATTTTTTTATCAAACACAAGTCCTCACAGTGGTATAAATACTTATTCTAATGCAATTTGTACGAAACAATTTCTTTAATTGGCTATGCTACGCGTCGCTTTTACTACTGCATTTATGCCCGTCAAATCGCCAATAGACGGCAGCAACTCTTCAACCACAGTACTGTTATTCCTTAACTCGATTCAAATGATAATTCTGTGACCAGTCAGATGAATTACGGATTTTTTCTTGTTGTTTCAAAAAATTTAAGGACATATCATTAGTTATGGTATATTTCAGGATCTTACATTTATTTATGTGTGTTTCGATGATATACATGACAACATCCATGGAATATTCAGGAGTGCAAGAGTTGCAAAAGGTTTTGTTGTCGAACTATTCCAATATTATTACTCCTCGCATTAATCAAAGTGATCTGGTTACAGTCGATGTAAGTTTCTATTTGAATTCCGTTATTGATTTTGATGTTATATCTGGAATTATGTCATTTAGTGGCTCATTTATTTTTTATTGGAATGATGAAATAATTAGGATGAAATGGAAATCATCTGGTTTATCAAATATCACTTACACGCGACTAAGATTTCGTGATGTATGGATTCCTACAATATATGTTCGAAACAAAGCTAACACAGATTCACTATGCCAGCTGGCCAGTACAGCAGGCAGTGTATCATCTACTGTGACTTATTACCGAAATGGTTTGGCAATGTTAGTTTGTACATCGGTCTTGAAAACAACTTGTCATACAGATGTAACTTTTTATCCTATGGATACACACAAATGCAATGTGACGGTTGTAGCCGGTAGCCTAATTCAGGATATTAAACTACAGACAACAATGTCAACAATATTGACTGATTACACGTACTCAAATTCAGAATGGTCGATATCCTCGAATGTAAGAAATTCTTCAGGCACGCCTGTATCTGGAGTAGATTTTATTATAATCTTATCTCGAAAACCAACTTTTCTGATGGTAAATTTGCTTTTTCCTGTAATGGTCATTACTATTCTTAACGGATTGTCCTTTTTAGTTCCCATTGAATCTGGTGAGAGACTCTCCTTTGGAATAAGTTTGCTTTTGATGTTAATTGTCTTTTTGACAACTGTTTTGGATATATTGCCATCAACAAATAATTCTCTTTCTGTTTTTAACATATTTGTATTAAGTCAATTGATATATAGTTGTTCTTTAGCGTTCGGTATAATCATAACATTTTATTTTCATTTTCGTTGCGGTGACAAAGAAGTTCCAAAGATATTGCAAAAAATGGCAATTGTTCTTCTTAGAAAGGAAAATAAAACGGTGCTTAAAACAAAGAAGACACTTCAGTATGATATAAGGGATGATGAAAAGGCCAACTTTAAGGATGA